ATATATTATTTTTGATATATATTATTTTTGTGTATTTTACTGTAGGATAATAAAGGATAAATTCAGTTTTTTGGTTACGCTTACAGTTAATAAGTATCGCGACAGCGAACAGATTATCAGTTTTGTCTCTTGCTACGCAATTTTATTTCTGTTTAATGTAATTAAATATAAAGAATCTGTATAGACTATAGAAGAATTGTTGCATTGCACTTTTTAATTCAAAGATATGTATCGCATATTGAAAAACGGGGATTCTTCATTTTTTGTTGCTTTGATTTTATAACATTTAACACATAATTAACTCTCTGAGGAAGACAATTAAAAAAAAAGAACATATTTATTATCGTATGGAAAAGATTATTTTTGGATACTAATCAATAAGAGAATGCCAGAATATTGTTTTCAAAAATATAGTTATTACATATATCTATAAAAAATATAAAAATGTTAGAGTCAAGAGAAAAACTGCGTTTTTGACATCAATGACTTACTTTGACATCAGCTCGGTTGAGTTGCGTTGCTGAGACTGAAAATATATTCATAGAAGTATCTGTTTATTAAGAATTTTAATCTTAAAGTCGAGATCTCTTTTTACATCATAGCATAAGAAAATTGCTACAAAAAACTTATAAATATAATACTGCACTTATCGCATACGCAGAAATTGTTAGGTTATGCTATTTATATATACGGTGAGTACAGTTTTATACTTTTATAAATTTGTTGTAACATATGCTATGATGTAGTACAGAGTTCTCGACTTTAAGATTAGAATATATATATACGTCATGAGCAACTTAAAGAAATAAACATACGTAAGATCGTAATTTTGATGAATCGCCATACAGTTGAATTCTAAAATACGATATCAAATAGTACCAAATATAGTACCAAAATTATAAACAGTATATTTGTATTATCAATAAATAATTGTCTCGTTTCTGTATCAATTTCACTCGCCACGCAATTAGTCATTGATAAAGAAATAATAAGGAATAATGAGGTTTTAAATGACGGGCAACAATGGAAATTTGTCATATCAAAAGCTTCATGTTAATCACGCAATATAATCATGTATGATTTAACTTTAGCCAATTATATCTCTCTCTCTTTTTTTAATATTTTTTTTTAAATCTTGTAACAAAATCAGCATATAATAAAATATAATTAGATATTATTTTGAAATGCGTTTATTTCTCTACAAAAATTATTTGATAGTGTAGCATATATTAACATCATAAAATCATTCTTTTCATTTTTATTCTTAACTAAATCAATTTTGGGATAATAATAGTGTATCTCACTGCAGCAATTGCGCATATATAAGTTAAAATTAAATACAGAATCATAGATAAGTAAAGTTTCCAAGACGTAGACATTTGTAGAAGTTGCATATGTACCAAAGTATATAAGATACTGATTAATGCAAAACCCGGTATTAAAATCTTTACCGTAGAATTACATGTTTCGACGTTTAACCAGAGCGGCGCAAAAACTATAAAAGGAAGAACTGTCTCGAGATCTTTTCGATGAGCGCTCCGTATCCGAGTCACGTTAGAATGACCATCGCCGGTTGGATATAAAATTATGTTTGATTTTTTTTTCATCCACATTCTGTCCTCTTCGCTATGGATCACCTACGCAAAATTGCAAACAAAGCTGATTAAATCGGAATGTAATTTTGACTAACCAATATAAATAATATACACTTTTTCTTATTAGTATAAAGAATAGATTTATTCGTCATATTTCTACGGTGATTTTCACGATAACATGTCAATAAAAAAAAAAATAAAAAAAAAAAAAAAAAAAAAAAAAAGAACAGCACATGAGAGACGTGGGATTGACAGAACAACGAATGTGAAAATTTATCTAGAACAAAAATGTCCCATTTGTCATTCTACCGAGAGTTCTACCGCGAAAGAAAAAGGTTTTAATTGACTGTGCGCGTTTGAAAGCTTTTATTTCGTGCACATAAGCTGTTCTTTCATTTTTTATTTTATTGCGTATATCATACATATAATAAAGTACTATATTTGAGAAAAAGATCTATGTTTAGATTGTAGCAAAGTTTAATTTCCAATTTTCCGAAATCGATTTAATTTGCATTTCAATCTGGATATACGTCAGATTCCTATGTATCGAGACAATAATTCAAAAGCTAATTGAAACTTTAGCACAGGATTTCGTTGTATGATTCGCAAAATTAAATTTATATATATAAATGTATAAAATAGAAATATAGATATTTTGCTTAAACCAAAAAACTAAAAAATAAATATATACCTAAATTTTATTATTGTTTAAATAAGGATTGAAACCTCAGTGTGCAATGCGCGACGACACACTGCATATTCCACGAATTCGAATTACGCTGATGTTTAATAATGTCCGACCTTGTTGAGATTAGTCAACACATTTGTTTCGTAGTTCCTGCATGTTTCACAGTCATTGAAATGAAAATATTGCGTGCGTATAAATATCAAGAATATCAAACAAAATTTAAGATTAAAGAAATCAAAGGTTATCGCGTGATTAAAGTATTAACTGCAATTTTGCAATTTGCAAGCATTAACTATTACTATATTTCCCCCATTCTCTTCTTGATATCCATAAAAACTTGCATTAATTGCATCTAATATTTATCATTCTTTCAATAATAATATATTTTATGAAAAAAATAGTTGAATAATAATATCATAAACTAAAATTAAAATTTTTTGTTAAATTATTAATACAATGATATATTGATGAAACTGTATCAAATGTGTATTAGTGAACAACTTTCACAATTAACGTACACGACAGTAATTAGTTGTCAACTAACAGCTGTTTACAAATTAAATAAAATCATATCATTTGTATTGCGGATTCAAAATGTCGGGAGTATCGAATAATATGCGGCGTTTATTGTCGTAATGTTGATCTATGTGTTTAATTATAATTGATTGCAGTTTTTGATATTCATAATTTGTATTTATTCTAATATTACTATTTAATCGCTCCGCGCGCGCGCGCGCACGCACATACATATTCTAAACTCATGATTACCATGTTATTAACAGACATCAGAAATATCGAAATTTAATCGAGCGTGTATGTTAATTTCAATGATTATCGCACTATTAACAAACATTGACAATACCGAATAAAGTTTCTCGGGATCGACAAATTTGGTATTAATGTGTGCGTCTAAAAATAAAAACGGCATAAAACAATTAAATGCCGAGAATATCGAACCGGGAATGACGTTAATTAATATATATGATCGTGACTACGATCGATTTATATCCCTACGTGAAAAGAAATGTCTTCTAACAAACACTAATTAAGCAATTACAAAATAATGAAACGTGCAATTAATAAATAAATTATATCAGTTTTATATGTATAATAAATTTATTATTTAATATTTGGTATATTGCTGCACTTTTTTTATTATTTTCATATATTTTATTGCATTAAATAATAAAAGATTAGGCACATTTAAATCAGAAATTATAGAAATATATAATTAGAAAGGCGAAATTGTATAAATATTAAGTTTATACCAATCTGCTTAAATTTCAATTTTCATGCTGTATTTAATACTGTGGTACATTTGATTGTCTGTAGGTGTATAATTGAATTAACATTCTTACATATCTTTTTTAGAATACATTAAGTAGTGAATCTTATTGACGTATTATAAAAATATATAAAAGTAATATATAACAATGTTAAAAAAGATCAACATTATATAACATAAATAGTATATAACCAAAATACAATTATATATACATAAAATCAAAAATAACATAATATTATAAATGCATTATAAAAATGTTAAATTAATAAGCTTTCTTTTAATTAAAAAAAAAAAAAAA